TCTTATTAATGATAAATATTGTGTGAATTTTGTCCAAAAGTTTAAACATTATATAATGTTTATTGTTTCTCTTTCTAAACTCTTGTACCGTATTTTCCATCATAACATTGTCTTCTTTCAAATCACACAAAATCTGCTGCAAATTTAATTGTTTGAGTTTAGACGCCATATAATTGCAAACCTGTTGAATATAGTCAATATATAATTAATTTATTACTCCTATTTGTATAAATAATATTTGTTGAATTAAAATTGATTTCAAAACTATTTACATCGAGATATTGTTGAATTGAAATGTTATGCCATTCATCGATAGCCTCCATGTCTTCGTTGGCAACAAATTCATATGAATCGAGTGTTAAGTTTTTTACACTCGTATTTCGTGTTACAGTCTGTATTTTCAAACCCTTCACTTCCAGACCATATGTAAGCAAAACATTGCGCCTTTTATTGCGATAAAATGGCATATTTGCCGCAAATAACGCAAACCTTTCTATATTACTGGGCAATGATTTGACAGAACCCGGAAAATCTAGAATATCAAACTTGTTGTCATCATTTGTATTGTCACATTCATCCGTGTTTTCATTGTTTTGGCCGTTAATTCTGTTTTGTTTGAGTGAATCAAACAGAAGCTGCGGATGAATGGCAATGCGTTTGGCCATAACGGGTACTTTAAGTTTACGATTAGATATTGAAAACACCTTCATCTGAAACAATGAGTCCAGAAATGTGACAAAATTCCCGTCCCATTCACACGAGCCGTAAAACACATTAAAATCGTTTGTAGCGACTCTACGGAGACGTCGGAACTCTTTGTCGTAATCTAAACCAAATATACGTAACTCCTTATGAATGTCATCCCTTTCCAGTTTATACTCGCATTGTGCGAGTCTCTGCTCAAAGCCATTGAGATTGAGTGCATTTTGCGATAATAGGTCTGTGCTATTGTTAGCCACTCGTATGTATCCGCGAACGCAATCCCTCTCGTTGTCCATAACTGCAAATTCCCCTAATCATGCAAAATAGGTAATAAAATAAAATAGGTATATACAAAAAGGCAAATTAAGTCTGAAATATTATAGACATTTATACGGGCGTATTTCTAAAATTATCAAGACCAATTTTTTTTACAGATATAGAATCACGGGACGCACAACATATAATTTTTTAAAATAACCTAGATACGTTTTTAGCAAAGTTTACCCAGCTAAAACTAATTTATATAAACATTTTTTGAATTCACCAATAAATATAGTATAAAAAAATAAGTCCACACATGTATTGGCATTTCAAATATAAATCATTACAGATGAATAGGGACGGTTTATAAAGTTAATTTTCCTGCTGAAAGTCTCAATAATTACGGGTTTTTCCCAAATTTGTTAAAATCAATGTTTGACCGCTTTTCAGATATTAATGCAGTTCCTAATCATTGAGACTTTCAATCATAAACCTATTTAAATGTGGTATTTGTAGGCTTACAATGCAACTCCATGGTCTAAAATAACTGAATTTACTTGGTTACTGGTGCCTATGAACTTAAATAATTAAACCATTTTCATAATTCTAA